TAGTATCGATAGATATAAATGATGAACCAATGTATACAAAAAAGGATATATGGGCGAGTTATAAACTTGAAATGTCGCATATTTTGACGGGTTATCATGATTCAAAATGAATTGCATGTAAAAACGCATAATACAAATAAATAATTTGTCGAATTTGCTCATAAAGGGTCTTAATAAAAACCAGTAACTCAGAAACGACGACTTAGACTCTTCAGGAAAAGATAAACTGCGTCAGGCCGAATAAGTGTAAGAGCAATACACATTCCGATATGTTTACTAAGTAGGTAAATAGATAAGAATTAAGAAAAATTGCTCACAATTTTAGTAATTTGTCCTTCCCCCCCGAGGCGACAAAAAGACCATCTGGACTCCAATCGAGAGCGTATACTGCATCGGCATGTCCGGGTAAGTCAGATACAAGATGGCGCTTTCTTTGATGGGGACTATTAGGATGCGTAGAAGACTTTTGTTTACACATACTTTTAGTGCCGTCTCGAGCCAATATAAGATTTTCGGCTTCCAACTTTCTGTCAGCAGGTGAAACCTTCCATTTTTTGGCTTGAGGTTGGTCGGATAGACCTGGAGCCACAGCCTCTTGCTGCCACCGACGAATTTCGTTCATGGACCAGAGTTTCAAAGTAGAATCTTTGGAGCCTGAAACTAGAAGGCGACTGTCACTGGACCAAGCCACCAGATAAACATCTTGAACGTGACCAAATAGAGTAGCTAGAAACCTGAGTATACAATGAAAAGAAATTCGAACATGAATAATAGTATTAGTGCAGAAAATTGAGATCAATTTTCGGAAAAATAGATATCTTGTATATCTTATATAAGTAAATGGCGTTCATACTCGGTATAATGACTGGTTATTTTATCAGCACCTTTATAACATCAATATTTTCGCCAAATTAAATTAGACATATTTATGTCATAAGGGGGTTAATATTAATTAGAAATAATCGTTCATAAACTTAATTATCAGACAAGTGTTTATATGAATTGAATGAACTTACTGACCAGTATGACCATCCCAAATCTT